GGATTACAAGCTGTTCTGTTTACAATCACGTCAGTTTTGAAGAGGTCAAGAGGCTTAAACAAAAGCCCAAATCTCAATACTCAACTGATATACCTGTCACCCAAATTCAAAATCCAAATGTCAAAATCCCAAATGCCAAAATCCCAAATCCCAAATCCTAAATTATGATTAGTATTTTTTACCGAAATCCCAAATCCCAAATACTAGTAATTTGGGATTTTGACGTCCCAAATCTCAAATGATTTGGGATTTGAGCAACACGTATATCAACTGATGATATATATATATTACGTGAGTATAAATTGTGGATGAAAAATGCTATTAGAAAAATTGAACGTGCTAAAGAAGCTGGTAAAAAGATTCGAGCTGCAAAGGTCATACAACAGAAATGGTTAGAAATTTTCTACAGACCCGAAGGTATGTGTGCTATGTAGTTAGCCGAGCATTACAAATTATTATGGGCAGTTAGGAAAGAAATACGTCAAATTAACAATGTATAGACTGTGTCTGCAGGTACGAAATGTCATTTCTCTGAAATAAGCAATACACATATCTATTTATCCGATTAATATATTTATTTATTTATTATATAACTTATTCATATATATATATATATCTTTAAAATAAAATCATCTAAGGTATTCCTGAGGGTTAGTACTTTAGACTTTTATTTATTGCTATTTCGTGATGATTAATAGCTTTTTTGTTAAAATTTATGTAATTCTAAACGTATAGCATGTATTAGATCAAATCATAGTTTAACAATAAATAAAATATATAAACATATACAATTAACTTATCTTTTTTAAAAAGAATTAACCAATCCGTCATGTAAATTCATAGAGTCACTTTCTTTGTATGCGCGTAAAGTTTTAGGTCCAGTAGGAGCAGTACCATAACCTCCGGATGCATTAGATCCGAAGACAGTTTCTTCTGAATTCCCCAAAACCGTTGCATCACCAATATGACTTCGCCATTTAGGAAGAGGCGGTCCCAGTATAGGTGAATTTTCATAAGTATGTTGTCAGAGATTATCCAGATTCGATCTTTCTGTTGAGACCTGTGGAGATGCAGAACTGTAAACATGAATATTAAGTTTATCCGCCCCAGCAGATTTAGGTAATACCTGATTTAAGTGTTGTATAAATCCTTCTTTGTAAGAGGGAGTTGAATTTTTTTACAAGGGGGCAGATCTTTCTGAAGTAGAGAGGTGTCTGATAGAATCAAAGAAACCTAGCCCTGATGTATGTCGCATATCATCACCAGTTCGAAGTGATCGAATTACCCGGCGATATTCGCTAAATGTGCGTTAGGGAATGCATTACTAACTAGACTACCCTGTACCGCTTTTTCTGAATAGATGGCTGGTAATACCCCTTTAGCCGGGTGTAGTTTTTGCGATGAAGGAACAAAATTTCGATTCTGGTCTTCTTGTTGTTGCCAATAAAGAAATTCTAAATCACTAGGCAAAATTGGTCTTCGAAATATTCCAGTATTAAATGTTACATCCTGCAATGGCAAATTTCTTTCCTGATCTTCACGTTGCATCTCATCTATTGAATAGGGATCTGAAGTGAGGATTGGTCTTCGAAATGTCACAGTATGGGATGTTATATCTTGTAATGTTAAATGTCTTTCCTGTTCTTCATGCTGTATTCTGCTCATAGGATAGGAATTTGAAGTGAGGATTGGTCTCCGAAATGTTTCAGAATGAGATGTTAGGTCTTGTAACGATAGGCGTCTTTGTTGATCTTCATGTTGCATCTCACTTAACGGATAGGGGTTTGATGGAAGAATAAGTTCTCTACTATTTTTAGGAATGGATTTTTCAAAACTGGATGGCAAAACTAATTGCTGATCCCCCTTTTGTTCTTTAGAATGCATAGCGGGTATAAGTGAGGCTCCTCCCGGTTTAGTTAATTGGAAATTTTTATTTTGACCGAATTCAGTTTCGGTTTGAACCATTCCCTTAGTTGCTAAAATCATATACATATTGAATGGAATATGCCTAGTCCCATTAACGTCCTGCTGGAGACTCCACGATTGATCTGACTTCTGTAACATTATGTTTTTGTCTTTTGAGGGAGCGATATGTAAACCAGTTGTATTAGCATATTGCTGGAGGTTCCATGGCTGATCTGGCTTCTGTAACATAATATTCCTATATTTCAAAGATGTAGTATATGAATCGGGCACCTTGCCATATTTTTGTACAGGCAATTCAGTCTCCCCCATAATATGACGCCACGGTACATATGGAGGCGCGTTATTACCAGAATTAGTATACTTACAGACCAATTCATTATATGGATGATAATTCCCCCAGAGAGTATTTTTTGCCACTCTTCAGGATTCTGCATTATCGTGTGACCCGCATAATTAGTTTCACTAGGTAGGCCCACTTCATTAATTTTACCTTCTCTTTGTGTAGAGAAAACATGTGTACTATCCTTAAGTTGATTATGTATCTTATTACGCCCAATCCTGATGGCTTGTTTAGACCATGACCTTTCAGGAACTTGAGTGTCAGCATTAACCCCCATCGCTTGAACTAAACCAGAACTTCGACTTTGCATTTGTGTTCAAGCAAGATTAAGATTGGGGCCTATTTGCATTCCTCGAGGATCATTTCCCAAAAAACCTAAAGATAATTCAGGATGACGCACTGGGTTGGCAACTTGACCCCGAGAGCCATGGTATCACAGATTCAAGACAGATTACGAATGCATAGGGTCTTTACGTGATAGATCACTTTCTAACCAGGATTCTTCTAACCTCCGATCAACGATCTGCCCTCGCGCATAGTCGATATAATAATCTTCTTGATCATGGAAAGTGTCCACTTGGGCAATGGCATCAATAAGGAGTGGATCAGTTTCTTCCATTTTCCTATTTAATGCAGACGAAGGCATGCCCCCATAAGGTAAAGCTTGCCTATTGCGAATA